GGGGGGGGGGGGGGGGGGGGGGGGGGGGGGGGGGGGGGGGGGGGTGATGAGGGACGCAAAAAGAAGGCCACTGCATACGTAGAGTAAGTAGGTTTCGGAGCACTCGCTTCCACGAATATGCTGGCTCGGCGGTCTCCAATCACCTGCTCGCACGGATGACCTTCCCCCCCCTAAGGCGGACGCCGCACGCCTTGCCGTCTTCCACCACAACCTCTTCCACGTGGGCCGCGAGCATGACCTTGCCCCCCTTGCCCTTCACCCCTCGCACCAGGGCATCTACCAAAGCTTCCGTGCCTCCCTTGGGGTAGTCTAGCACCACCCCCTGTTGTTGGCAACAAATCAGTCGGAGGCCGGTCAGGGAGGAGAAACAGGAACCGGAAGCGACGGCATGGTGGGTGTCTGAGGCGGGCAAGGAAAGGTGGTAAAAGTGCTGGGGAATGGCCCAGTCACAGCAAACCTCGCAACACATGGGAGCACAGCATACGGAGTCAAAGGTGGATCGCGCAGGCAAAGTCCCCCTTGCCAAACACCGACTGGGGTAGACAGGTGGCGCCTGCTATAGTACGTTCAAATGCCTTGCCGCGTGCGAACAAACGTACACTCGTACGACGTACATGTTCATCTGTCAGGTGAGGGTTTGTTGGGCGCTACACGCAGTCACTCACCGGCCTGCACCAGTCGGCGATCATGTAGGCCATAACTGCGGTCATCGTCCCGTCCGAAGGCAATCCTTGCAGCAAGAAGCACAGGAGGTTCAGCCAGTTCTTGACGAAGGGGTCGGTAACGTTAAGCTTCTCCAACACGTCAGTGAAAGGGTCCTGCAGGCTGCCCGGACAACACCGACCAATAAAAGGCATCGCAGAAGAGAGGGAGGACAACGAAAAACAGCACGTTGGGACGGTCGATAAATCGGAGCCGCCGATCGATAGAAGGTTTTGACCGATCAACTCTCCCTACAAATCCCGCAGTGTTGGTAGCTATGAGATACAGCGAGCGTGCTGTTGAGCCGGCGGTTTCCATGCACAAACGGACAGCACGTGTTTCGCGAAAGCGTTTCCGGCCTTCCCGCCCCCCAATACCCCGACGAACACGATATTCTGGAGCTCACAACGAAGACAGGCCAAACCGAGAATGATGACCAAGTCTCGTTGTACACGAAACACACAATGCCGTGGGGTTTGAAGCTCAATTTTGAGGAGTTCGTGAAACCAAAGAGGCTGGACAAATTCGTTCGCCGCCCTCCTGCCCTCTAGAAATATGTGTCTTATCATATTTCAAACCAGCTGGGATGATGGGATACCTTCATTGCTCCACCCCATTAGAGAGGACAACGCGAAAACAATACACAAACACACATATGCGATGGTTGCAAAGACCCGGAGAGAGATGGGAACGATGAAGTACCTAATTCGCAATAATGGTAACTCCTGAATTCTTACGCTCAAGCAGCCAAGCACCTGACTACGCCGCACATGGGACATGCGGCGACCGTTTCTCTCCATGCGCCAAGAGTTGTTGCGAATTAGGTATTACATCGTCTCCATCTCTCTCCCCGGGTCGTTGCAACCATTGCAAAAGGAAGATGACGACAGGCGGCAACTCCTACTACCGTGGGACCTGAACGACGTCAGCAGTGCCCTGGATCAGGTTCGATAAGATATTATTGAAACGTCCATTTTTTGACAGTCAAACACGTGGATCCGCAGTTGGCGACAGTATGATGCAAGCACTTCCAAGATGTCCTCATCCTCTTCGTGCAAGCATTTGGAGCTGTACACATGGACCAGGAGGAGTCGGATACCTCCGATCCTTTATTTCTCGCAGGGGAAAGGTATACAGCAGCACGCGTTGAACGACAGGTCCAACCTGCCCGAGCAGTCAAGTTGCTTCATCTTACCCCAGCGTTACACGGATCGACTGATGGAAGGGTCAACAGGGTATCCCGATATAACCGCTTCGCAAACGGTGACCTGAGTGAGCCTATTACCTGGCTCATGCTGTATGAGAAGAATTGTCGACTTCAGAATTATGCGGATACTGAAGACAATCGTCAAAGAAGAGTTACAGGACTGGCGCACGCAAGAGGAGGCATCACAAAAGCTGCCAGTGCCTTTTCCTCCCCAGCACATTCATCGCGCAATAACGCCACGCTGGAGTATCTGCACAACCTGCACTCTAATGAAGATCCTGATGATGTTGCTGCTGCGTGGGATGCTAGCATCAAAACTGCCAAAGGTAGTGAAGGAACGCACAACATTAACTCTATCGCCGAAGCTGACGAACCGTTCGAAAACAAGTTTATCAAACAGTCAGTCAACAAGGCCAATCCACAGAGTGCTCCAGGGCCTGATGGTCTACGGTTTTCATGTCTTCAAGCTGGTGGTATGAGCGATTTTTTCTCTGGAACCTTGACGAACTTCAGCTTTGAAGTGTTCAACACGGCGACGAGCTTCCGGACTTCTTTTGAAACCTCCACACCAGTGCCAACCTTTCAGCGTTGGGAGAGAAGAAACGACCGATTGAGTTGGAGAAGTTCGACGTTGCATCATCAGTGGCAGCTTCTGCCGTCAGTACAAGCAAGGATTACCAACATCTTTGAAGCAGCCTACCGGTGTGGAGGTGGCATTCCAGGAGGAGTAGAAATATTATATATAATAGTGGCTTCCACAGCAGCCCTAAGCCACCAGCAAAGCGGCACAATTTTATCTTTTCATGGGAAAAATGCCTACGACAGCATGCGCCGATCTTCTATCCTACCGGCAGTGGCCACTCACACGCCACACTTGGTGAAAAACTTCGGGAACATCTTCGCTCAAACCAAGGCGAACCTTCTCTGTTCAAAATGGAAGATGGTTCGGTTGTTCTTTCACAGCGCGGAGCTCAACAAGGCTGAAATTTGGGAGGGTTTGGCTTCTGCGTAGGACTCCTGGATATCATGAAAGAGTTTAACAAGTCACAGCGCCAGGAATCAAACTCATCGGAAAATGTCGACGACCTTCAAGCGCATCTCCCACCAGGTTCGGCTAGGAAGATGGAGGCCACCGCCACTGTAACGAATTGGATTCAGGAACGTCTCTCCCAAAAAGGCATGGAGCTCAGTCTGCCGAAATCTAAAGTGCATTTCCCAGAAGGTCTTTGCTCGTCCTCTTTGACAAACGACAAACAGCAAGAATTGACCAAAATTGGTCTCTCAGTTGCTGAAGGTGGCATGCCAGTCGTCGGAGTCCCAGTAGGGACAGCAGATTTCCAGAGCAATTTCGTCTCGAACTTCGCCCGTGGTGACCCTGCGGAGTTGACACTCAGCCTAGCAACGCTTGACGACCGTCAAGCCAGCTATTTAGCTGCTGCGTTTATCTGGTGTGCCACGTTTATTTCATTTGCTGAGAACGATTGCACCTTCGATCGTTAACTCTGCCGCAAGAAATCATGACAACACGATGAAGTGGAATACTTGAAAGAGACAGAAAGGGCGCAGATACACCTGCTTATACGTGGGCGGGGACTCGGGATCACGAGCAACGTCCTCATTAGGGAATCAGCCTTTGCAGTATGTCAAGCACTGGTGTACTCCAAATCCGTGAAAGCATCGACAGGATGTACCATTGAGCAATGTCTGCCCCGACTTGCACAGCTACCAACCGGATTGGCTCTGATTGACTCTCTCAAGAAGCTAGAGGAGATTATCACGAAGACAAGCTTGACAAAGCTGTTGGTCAGTCATGGACAAAACTGGTCACGTCTGATGATTTGACTCCCACTCTTCAAGGGGTTTTATCTCATGGACGCTCGGAAGGTAGTCGAGAGAAAACGTGGAGGCGACAACCCTGGCGAGGAACCGCTAACACCGCCAACATGAGCCCGAAATGAATTTGGCCAGCACTTCCAAGTCATTGGGGCTCAAGCTGTCCTATCGAAACCTCTTCATGCGGCAGTGCGCCATATGGTGGAGCCAGACTAAACAAGGTAGGATCGAAGGAAACGTGAAGGAGAGGTCCGTTGATTCGGTCGGAGGAAGCGAAGGGAAAGGGAGTATTTTCGTGGCTGAGTAAGCAAGGTCTGCCAGCACGAACGAATGCTACCTGACCTTTATCGTGAATCAATCGGTCGTGTACTGGGGAGTTAACCCCGAACTGACTGTGACGCAGGTAGACTTTGCGGTGCGGGTGCATGACACCGTGCAAGGAACGGTTGAGCCGAATCCAGTCCCTGGTCTGCACGAAGACCGGTGCATCAACCTTTCTGCACAACAGGATGGCTCGCGTGATGTTGAAGACACTACGCGAATGCCACATGCCAATCGAGGTCGAAGACTCTTTCCCATTTACCACAGGCACTGGTAGGGGGAGAGGGCTCTACAAGACGGATTTGGTGATTCCCCCAGGATTACACGCAGGAAATAAAGAAGAGGATCTATGCACCAAGTCCACTTACAGTTGTCAACCCATCCGCAGGTCGAACCATGGAAAAGTCGATGCAATAGCCAGGATCCACCATCGATGATCGAGTTGCAAGAAAGGCAAATAACTATGAGAGCTTTCGACTCGTCAAGATTTACCCTCCATACTGCTGCTTTTTCAAAGTATGGTGGTCTTGGCAAAGTCACAAATCGATTTATCGTAGCCATCACCAACAACTTAGCATATGAAGCCTTTTGCAAGGGCAATTTCGATGAAGAAACAGCCTTGCTTCGCCTAAAGGCTCTTCATACTAATAGGATTCGGAGACGGTTTACCGTCGAGTTGGCTCGTTTTCTGTTCGTACGAACTCGTGATGTTTTCAAACATAATGGACTACATATTGATCAGTTTCCACCACGGCCAATAGGTTGGGATCTCGCAAGTAGTAGAGATAGAAACGACCAGGATGGTAATGAGGAGCATTCGTTTGGCAACGATGAAGGAGGAGGAGAGGGAACGGGAGGAGAACAAGACAGAGACCAAAACAGCAATCGAGGAGGGAATCATGGCGAGGAAGGGCAAGAGCTTGGACAGATGACCTTCCCCACCACAAACAACGCAGGGCCAAAGTTGCTGTCAAAACAATAATGAGAACGATGGAGTTGAAAGCACGGAGGACGATGGTGAAAGCACTCCAAAACGAACTCGAGTGCAAGGTAGCAGCCTTTGTAGACGTGTGCAGTTTCCTTTTGTTGTTCGTTGATGTCTTTGATCCGGAGAATAGAATAGTCTCCCCCAAGCCGCCCCCTCACGGGGTCCCAGTTAGTGGCATTTAGAAGGGTATAGTGTTTTCAAACTCACTGAGTTTTTGCATTGGTCAGCCGGTTAGCGCGGTCGATGCTAATGATGAACACAAACCTGTAGCCAGCCAAGCACGTGCAGTTCTCTCGTGTTATTGCTACGGTACCTGCCATAATCCGGAGAGTAGCGTAGAATCCTCCATGACGCTTGGTCGCAGGGTCACAGATCGCGGCCTACATCGTAGAAGCATTTTGTGCTTTCCACCGCACGGAGACTGACTTATTTTCATTGGTCAGCCGGTTAGCGCGGTCGATACTCACATAAAATACATACGTGCATGAGGGATAATTGTCGCGTGTCGTCGTACCTGGGCCCTGCCTTGGCAACCTTGACCAGGGTAGGCAGAAACTGCGCCATCGTCACGACTGCGCCCGGACCGGTCCGCAGAGAGAATGGCGGCAGCCCCATCGTGCACTCCGACAGCTCCAGCAGGTGCTCCGTCAGCCTGTCCCACTCCTCCTGGGCCCCGGGGCCTCCGAAGCGGCTGATTGTCTCGCGGAACGGCTCGGGTCCCACGGCGTTGTCGAAGTACCCCTGGGGGAGGGACACTCCCCAAGTGTCTTCGGCTCGATGACAAGTGATGGGACGTTTCCCCGAACAAAAAGGGAGGGTCCACCGTAACATATTCAGAAGTATGTTCTCCGTTAATTATCCGTAAAGCTTCGTGTACATATCTTAATTTTGACCCGTTGAAAAGGGAGCGGTGCCTGCTGTAACGTTTTGAGGAGAAAACTTCTCCGTGAAATCTCGAGGTATGGCGAGGACCGCTCCCTCTCTACGCTGCGGCCGCGGCGATGGGAATCGACGCTGTTGCTGCCAAACACCGTGTGTGACAACCACAACATCAGAGGAACATCAGAGGAAAAGGGGAAAACGCCCACCGAACTCAGCGCACAAGGGGCTCGGCAAGGCTAGGCGCTTGACCGAACCGCAACACTAGTAGATTGCGAGCGTGCGGTGTTCCGGGTGCCGACTGCAGTCTCAGTCCGGGTTATACTTCTACGTTTTAGAAAAAAATCCGAGTCGAAACTTGCAGGAGCCGCGCCTACCGTATGTGAGCCAATCCACGTCCTCGCCAATAGCGTTGAGCACGTGCTTCAACGGATTGGGCGTGGGGCTGATCGACATTCCTGGCAGTGGATGGTGGATGATTTAGAGTGAAGATGGCGACGCCGAGCACAGCAGAGGGAGGTCGACCGGAGATAAGAACCGATGGAGGGGGAACCGAGCAGAAAGCTGTACACACCGTTTCATGGTAGGCAAAGAAAGAGCACACACGCAAGGACTTGTTGAGGTGGTGGGCCGTATTGTTAACACGTGCGGAAACGTGCAACTCATTATTGCACCGAAGTCGTGGTCAGACGTCCACGACCTGATGCCACATGCCCATTAGTCGACGCTGGTGTCGACGGCAGCGCAAGGTTTCGATCTGGCCGAAACCAGAGAGTTCAGTGCGAATGCTCCTGCTACCGCTACGATTCGAGCTGGTGAAACTGCGCCTATACCCTGTCTCGGCATCAGTAACAGTGGCTCTACCTACGGTCGAAGGGCGGGGACACCAAATGATCAGAGCATTGCGAACCATTTGCTGTAGGAGGAGCTCTACGTTAACCGCCCCATATTCCCTAACGGCTCCATACGTCCGATCACTCCCATCACATTGGCACAGCCCGGTGCTAGACATCATATTCCCTAACGATGCCTACTTCCTATTACCCCCATCACACTATTACAGCGCGGTGCAATTAAGGAACGAAGTACCACCGAGACCGGTGCTGGGAGACCCCGTGGTTGCAAACCCAAGGGAACGCACACACGAAACAATACCCGGGTTTGTGGTGCAAGGACAGCTTGCTATCCCGAGACAAGCACCATCAGCCGTTTGTCGCCGTGTACAGTGTGTTTTTTCGTGTACATGCCTGAAAAGAGCGACGGGCCGGAGTCGAACTTGTAGCCTGATCGATCGAACCCGTGGGCACACCCGCCAGGCTGGGTGTGCGACTCGCAGACCACCACCTTCTTCCCGTAGCTGGACAGCAGGGCTGCGGTGCAAAGCCTGCCAGGGGTCGGTCGAGGACCGGAAAGATGATGGTTTGTTACGAGGCAGACGGTGCTCGCAATATTAGAACTTGTTTGGCTACTCTGGTCAGAAAATCGTGCTCGCTTGCGAATCATCCAAAGATGGCCAACATGGACGGACAAATCATCCGTTTTCGGAAACCTTCCGGTGTGCACCGTAACTCCTACAGTACGTGCAACTTGATGACAACTGTTAAGACTGGGACAGATCCTTGTGCTGGATGGCTGACCATCATTCCCGAACCCTCGAAAGCTCGGGACATAGCGGCTTCCTCTTCCCTTGCCCTATGAACCGCTAAACCGATACCCCGCTGTGTATGTCTGTTTCTTCGTCCACCCTCACAACAAGCTACGCTACCGTCAACCACGCTGCGATCCTGTTATTTTTTGCGCGCTATGCGTTCCGGCTGCTTTAGAGAGAACGGGAGAGAGCCAGCGGCCAGGGCGCGGCACATCGTGAGTGAGAGGATAAGCATCCTTGTTTCTCCTGCCAACGCTGTGCTGCTGCGCTGACTCATCCGCCAGGGTTGGAAAGACGTTTTTTTTCCGCTTCAAAGCTACGTTGTCGAGGAACTGTGCTGTAATCTAGACTGCAGCAGCAATGCATACCGGTATCTGACATACATTGTCACGAGAACGCAGGTCAGATCCTTCTCGAAGAGAAAACCCGGGTACTCGTAGCAACCAGGGTTTTCGGCACAAGAGTAACATCGTAACGCTGATCTCGATGAGGGTCATGCGTGTGTCTTACTGCAGAAGTTCATACGAAGGTACGAAGGTAAGGAGAACTATTGTAATACTGTACTGCTGTATGCCTATGCCAAATGGACTCATGCGGTTCAAAACGCGTGATGGACACCGGCACCGGCAATAGACACTGGTTCATGCACATGACACAGGATGTACAGTAGGCGAAACGAACTTGTGCAGACTCGTCATGCCGTCATGCTGCCACCCGACCTTTTCTCACTGTCTTTGTGGGCATGCCGCCAATCCAGCGAGAGAGAGAGAGAGAGAGAGAGAGAGAGAGAGAGAGAGAGAGAGAGAGAGAGAGA